AGAAGAACCAATTAAATGCTCAATGCTGGTTGGGGGTGATCAGGAATGCAATAACTTAACACACAGCTCTATAACACATAATCAAAATATTATAATAAAACATAATACAATCATGAGAAGTACTTACAATAATGTTTGACTCACAGTCCAAACCTTCACCTTTTAATTGCTCATCAATAAGATCCACAAGTGGCTCCATGTCTGTAGAAATAGATAGGTAAAGTAGTAATAACCGACCTAACCGCAGACAATTTGTAAACATACAAATAGATAATCGTAACAAATAGTTTTAATCTAATCACAAATGAGAAACAAGAAATATAACATAATAAACAAGTCATTGAAAATGACATACTGGTAGTCCCTGTTAAATTTTTGAAAGTTCTCTTTGTGCTCGACATATTAAAGCGGAGGGGTTGTCGCAAGCGTGTCCTTGAAACTTGAGTCCTAAGTGGCATATACAACAGATTGTTTATTTACATCAAATTCAAACACGTGTTGCGTGACAACTCCTCAGGTTTAGGACATAGCAAAGAAAAACATAGATCACAAGTGAAAATAAAACAATTTGAGGTGCATGTCTATGTTATTTGTTCTAAAATTACTCAAATCTTTTTATGAAGTTTTAACAATTCAGTGAAAAACTAGAGACTATCTGTTTTTGTGTGATAAAAATAGACATTTGGAAAGTTGAAAGGAAATTAAACTAAAAATGGATATTTTTAATTTTTTACAAATGATTTTTCATCAGTATTTGTTTATATTTTTTTAAAAATGTGCTGACAACACTTTTAAAAGTCTATAGAAATAACGTATATCAATCTGATTAAGTAAAATTTTATCTTAATATACTGGGAGTTTTTGAAGATGCAAGATGGATAAAAACAAATATAAATGCAATAAAAAACATGCCGTACAATACAACTGATTGTAATGAGATTGACTAAAGTTCAATTTGAAAAAAATGTTGACATCTTATGATAGTATACAATATTTTTGTAGGGGAGTGATATGAATCTAGGTAACTTACTCTACATGTAGAAATATCCAGTCCTATAGGACTGGCAGTGTAAAGTCCTATAGGAATTGTATAGTCCTATAAGACTTATGATCTCACACACCAGTCCTATAGGACTGGCAGTGTAAAGTCCTATAGGAATTGTATAGTCCTATAAGACTTATGATCTCACACACCAGTCCTATAGGACTGGCAGTGTAAAGTCCTATAGGAATTGTATAGTCCTAAAAGACTTATGATCTCACACGCCTGTCCTATAGGACTGGCAGTGTAAAGTCCTATAGGAATTGTATAGTCCTATAAGACTTATGATCTCACACACCAGTCCTATAGGACTGGCAGTGTAAAGTCTTATAGGAATTGTATAGTCCTATAAGACTTATGATCTCACATGCCTGTCCTATAGGACTGGCAGTGTAAAGTCCTATAGGAATTGTATAGTCCTATAAGACTTATGATCTCACACGCCTGTCCTATAGGACTGGCAGTGTAAAGTCCTATAGGAATTGTATAGTCCTATAAGACTTATGATCTCACACACCAGTCCTATAGGACTGGCAGTGTAAAGTCTTATAGGAATTGTATAGTCCTATAAGACTTATGATCTCACATGCCTGTCCTATAGGACTGGCAGTGTAAAGTCCTATAGGAATTGTATAGTCCTATGAGACTTATGATCTCACACACCAGTCCTATAGGACTGGCAGTGTAAAGTCCTATAGGAATTGTATAGTCCTATAGGACTTATGATCTCACACGCCTGTCCTATAGGACTGGCAGTGTAAAGTCCTATAGGAATTGTATAGTCCTATAGGACTTATGATCTCACACACCAGTCCTATAGGACTGGCAGTGTAAAGTCCTATAGGAATTGTATAGTCCTATAGGACTTATGATCTCACACACCAGTCCTATAGGACTGGCAGTGTAAAGTCCTATAGGACTTGTTGATTCCTATAGGAATTTACATAAAGTCCTATAGGACTATACATGTCCTATAGGATTTCATGAAAAGTCCTATAGGATTTTTTAAAATCCTATAAGATTATAAAAATCCTATAGGAAACTTTTGTAAGGGATAGTCACTTATAAATAGTGAAAGTGTATCCAACCATGGAGGTATAAACTGTTTATACCTCCATGATGAACATAATCTCATCTTTATTTCCTGTACTACCAGAATAATGCATTTTCAGAGCTAGGGTGATTTACATATGTACAATGTCAACATTAGCAGATTACTAGTGTACATGTATGTATAGCTTCTGTTACTCACTTTTATAAAGACATAAATGAACTAAATATACCTTTCAGTTTCAAGAGTCTGCAATAGCTGTTGCAGGTATGCTCCTGGCAAAAATTGTTTAAAGCTTGTTGTGACATGTTGTCACATCCAAAGTACCTAGCATAAAAAAAATTAACAATTATTTTGATTGTAACTATTGTGGTTGCATATTCTAGAAATGAGTGAATGGAATGGCAAGGTATAATTCTGAGAGGCAAAATATGTTAATTTACAAGGTTATATATTGTAGTGCTAAACTATGAAATACAATATGAGGTTATTACGAGGATACCTCAAAGTATGCAAGAAGACAGTACAGTGCAACAGCATACTGTCTGAGTGCATACTTTGAGGTATCTTCAAAATAACCTTATTATTATACATCTTTTACTTCCTAAGATACATCATGGGAATGCAGAAATCCAAAAACAGAATCTGCTAACTTCTTTGTGTGGATCGAGTCCAGCCAAACCCCGGTGGCAGCCATGTTTGTTTTTATTATTAGAGGACGCTTACGCGCGCAATCATACCATATTTGGAATTCACATTTCCATATATATGGAAGGATGAAAATACCCTGTAAAATACCGCAAAATTACAACACGCTGTAAATTATGGCGTTACGGTGACAGATGTATAATAATATGTAATATAACTGATGAACAGTATAAGCAGAGTACTGTGACTTAATGCTTAGCACATATTATTTTGGTTATGTAATAATAATAAAATAATAATTTAGTGTAGATTTTGCGAGTGAAAATATATATAAAAAAAAAGTACTATAACTATATGTAAATAATCAAATATGTGTTTAACCTTAAAACTTTTGGGAACCCAACAAGAAGTAAACAAAAATATTTTAATAACTTCACTATACATAATGAGATAGTGACGGTACAAAACATAAGCTTACAGTTCTTGTGTTTCCAAATCACCAACTTCCCAAGTTGCCATTGAAATGTCAGTCAGTGAGAGACCAACGCCTGTAACAAAACATTAACATGTCAGTCTGTACTATTTGTTCTATTAAAGAAATATAGGACAATAAAATACTACCAAGATTTGAAAAGGCGTCAAGCAGTGTTCAGCAACATACAATCATCTACACATCATGATTCATTAATAAATTTAAAAATAAAACAAACCTTGCAGATCAGCCACCATCAATTTACGGTTGTACTTATGATATACAAAATGGCAAAAAGCTGATATTTTTTTGCCATGCTCTGTCTCAATTAAATCTTTGTATACTCTTCCGTCATTATTCATGTACTTAACAAATTTTCCTTTTAATTTTTCTTCTAACACGTACACATGATGACTATTGTTGTCTTGTATCATATAACATGGAATGATTCTGATAAGAAACATTAACAACAATGTGTTCAGTAAATAACATTAAAAAAATCTACATTATCATCACTTTTCATTCATGTTCACAACTTGTAATGACAACATTTCACATCTTTGAGTGGACGCCAGAATATGTTGCATGATGTGTTTATGAAAATTTTAAATAAATTGATCAGTAAAGGTAAGTCTGACACTAGAACCATTAAGATTTTCAGGAAATTAATCACAACAAAGTTTACAACATGAAGATAATACTGCATATGGTACTTGTAATACAATTACTGAATGTATATCACATCTCATTTGATAATACCTTGGCGCTTCTCCAAACTCTTTTGGGATGACGTCTTTGAAATTTAAAGACAACATTCTTGCTGACATTTGAGATTGCACTTCCTGTATGAAAAAGAATATGATCAAAATTAGATCCCATTCCACAGCCAATTAATTTTAAGAGCTGAAAAACTTTCCTAATAATAACAAAAAAAAGTTAATGACTAGATATATGATAATTTAATTGAGAAAATAATGGTTACAATTCACTATATTATTAAAAAGTTACACTTAGTAGTATAGCTAAAAACCAGCAATACAGGAAAAAGTCTTTACCTTTTTAGTCATAGAGATGATAGCTTCATTCTTCGATTTTGATAAATGCGGCTTATAGTGGATTTCATACATTGTTCTTATTGTTGAATCCTTGTAAGTCT